CGGATGCGATATTTGCGAAAAGAAATTTGGAAGAAAATATGTTTTGCTCTTACACCAAAAGACAGTCCATGAAGGTCGCAAAGATTATGCTTGTGATAAGTGCGAGAAGAAATTCGGACAAATAGCAACTTTACGCACTCATCAAAAAACAGTTCACGATGGTCGCAAAGATTTCGCATGCGATAAGTGCGAGAAAAAATTTGAACGAAAATCACGTCTGCTTTTGCACCAAAAGAGAGTACATGAAGGACGTAAAGATTACGCATGCGACAAGTGCGACAGGAAATTTGGATACAAATCTACTTTACTCTCGCACATGAAAATAGTACACGAAGGTCGCAAAGACTACGCATGCGATAAGTGTGAGAAGAATTTCGGACATAAACAGTATTTTCTTTTGCACCAGAAGACAGTCCACGAAGGCCGCAAAGATTTCGCATGCGATAAGTGTGAGAAGAAATATACACAAAAACCAAGTTTACTCCAACACCAAAAGACAGTCCACAAAGGTGAGAAAGATTTCGCACGGGACAAATAAGAGAAGACATGATGTTTTAAACGCATCAAAATTAGTGATTAGCGGTTGCCAATAATAGTAAATTCCAGAATATAACTCTCTAAATACTCTGTGTAATAGCTATGTTTATCATGATGTTACAAATTTATTATAATGGTTAGCTTTTCTTTCAACTTTAAACATTTTCATGCGTTTTTTTATTATAATCGAAAGTATATGTCAGATAAAAGTCTTTATGAATAATTTATTGCTTATACAAGTGTCTAGAATTAAGTGTAGTCATATACTTGGAATAGTTCTTCAAAAATTCCGTACATCTCATCAGTGAAGTAATGAAACGTGCTAATTTTTTCCTGACAATCGTAAATAAATATGTATATTTATATGGATATTGTTTTAAAATTTTAATAAAAATCGTGTCAAAGTGATTGTGTCTTACATGAACCACATGCCATTAACTATTATTGCAGCTTCGTTCATTAATGTGGTTGATGCTTCATTATCTGACCAGATGACTGTCAATACTCTCTGTACATTTTTTGTCTCATACAACGATCAACCAAAAATCTTTTTCACTTCTTTTTCTAAAGTGACGGACACATAATTATTTTTGCCAAGAGAGGTACAATCGGTAGTAACAATAATGCTCTTCTGAAAAAGCCAACGTCAAAACTATTTAATCATTTAATATAAACCAAAATGTGTTTTTTGAGTGTTAAAAACTTCAATTCAAAAATAGCCATATATATCGAAATAGTGAAAACTACTCTCGGATTTTCAGTGGCTGTTAAACTTAAAAACTTATGGTAAAAATTTAGGAGGTATAAGAAGATATTATAAGGAAGCTCTGTAAATTTTTTGATTATATTTTTATTTTTAGACCAGCAACTAAATAATTGAATTCGATGTGAACGCAGTAGATGACGTTTTAACGATTAAATATTTTTTTAATTTTTTAATTTTTGTATTTTAAATATTTTTTAAATTCTAATAGAAATACAAGTCATGACATATTTTGCGTAGAACACGGAATTTCTATAATTTATAAATTTATGATCTATTTACGAATAAGTGTAAGAAAATTCAACAAATAATTAGTTGAAACTAGTTTGAATTTGGAAGGCATGTATAAACAGATAAATCGATAACTTGATTGTAAACAATAATAATAAAATACCTTGAACACTGTTCATGTTCATTGTAAAAACAAATGAGTTTGAATATTGTTCTTCTCGACGAAACAAGCCTTAATACGAAAAGATACATTTTAATCATTTAATTTCTGTAGTACCAAATAGAGGGATCCAAGTTTATTTTCATCACTATGATGGAGAAAAGTGAGCAGAAATCTGAGGAAGTTGGCTCCAAAGATATTTCAGGCGACCAAAAACACGTTTTTAATATTTATTAAGAGACATTTACACTAGAATCAAGGATGATAGCACACCGAGACACGATTCACAATAATCAGAAAAATTACGCATGCGACAAGTGCGAAAATAAATTCGAGTTCCGAAGTCATTTGAGTAGACACCAAATATCAGAACACAAAAGTCGCAATGATTTTTCATGTGACCAGTGCGAGAAGAAATTCGTAAAAAAATCGAGTTTATTTACGCACCAGAAATTATTTCACAAAGATCAAGATGATTTCACATGCAAAAAGTGTGAAAGGAAATTTGAAAATAAATCAGCATTACTCAAGCACAAGAAAATATTCCACGAAGTTTTCAAAGATTATTTATGTGAAAAGTGCGCCAAAAGATTTGGAAATAAACGCAGTTTGCTATTGCACATAAATACAGTCCACGATGGTCACAAAGATCACATATGCGACAAGTCTGAAAAGAAATTCGAAAAAAAATCGCATTTGCTCATGCACGTGATAAAAGTCCACGAGCATCGTAAAAATTTTGCATGTGACAAATGTGAGAGGGTATTTCAGAATCAAAGCAATTTGAAAAGGCACCAAAAGACAATACATGAGGGTCGTAAAGATTACCTATGCGAAAAGTGCAACAAGAAATTTGGAAAAAAATCGGATTTGCTCTTACACCAAAGGACAGTCCACGAAGGTCGGAGAGATTTCGCATGCGACAAGTGTGAAAAGAAATTTGCAACCAAACAGAACCTGCTCGTACACCAAAAAATGGTTCACGAAAGACGTAAAGATTTCGCATGCGATAAGTGTGAGAAGAAATTAGGAACGAAACAGAACTTGCTTGTACACCAAAAGACAGTCCATGGAGGTCTCAAAGACTATGCATGCGACAAGGGCGAAAGAAAATTTGAACGAAAATCTCATATGCTTTTGCACCAAAGGACAGTCCATGAAGTTCGGAAAGCTTTCGCATGCGACCAGTGCGAGAAGAAATATGGACAAAAATCGAATTTGATTGGACACCAAAAAATAGTCCACATAGATCAAAAAGATTTTTCATGTGACAAATGTGAGAAGAAATTTGGAGAACGAGGCAATTTGATAAAACACCAGAAGACAGTCCATTATGGTCGCCGAGATTACGCATGTAATAAGTGTGAGAAAAAATTTGGGGATCAAAGCAATTTACACAGACACCAAAAGACAATCCATGAAGGCCGCAAAGACTACGCATGTGACAAGTGCGAGAAGTTATTTGGACAGAAAGCAGATTTGTTTTCACACAAGCAAACAGTACACGAAGGTCGGAGAGATTTCGCATGTGACCAATGCAAGAAGAAATTCGGACATAAAACCTCTTTACTCGCACATAAAAAAACAGTTCACGATGGTAAGAAAGAATATGCATGCGACCAATGCGAGAAGAAATTTGGACATAAATGGCTTCTGGTTCAGCACAACAAGGTAGTCCATGAAGGTCGAAAATAATACGTATGTGGCAAATGCGAAAAAAAATTTGGGCATAAAAGAAATTTGTTTTACCACCAAAAAACTGTACACAAAGATCATCAAGATTTCGCGCAAAGATATCAAGTTTCAAAAATCGAAAAATACGAGAGTTCCTAATTATTGCGACTAATTACTATACTAGTAACTTCCAGAATATGTTAATTCTCCCAAAATTCTGGATCAAACTCAGAAAATTTTTATTGAGCTAATTTTATTTTACACAATTAGAAGCTTTTACTTTGTAATAATGTTTCATACAAATGTTGCATTCAAATAAATTGCAAAAGCTAAAACAATTTTTTTTCAGCGCGTAGCATTTAGCAATTTCTACGTTTTTGATTTCAAATTGAACTTCATTGTTTTTTCTTTATAATTACCACTGCAATTAAAAAAAAATCCCGTCAACCTTACGAAAAACCCGGCAGAGGAAAATTTTTCAATAGTAAACGAAAAATAAGTTTTTTAGGGATTCATCCTCATCACATCGACAATAAGTACCCGAGTTTATTCGAATTTTTTCGGATGCCCGAATCTTTTTAATTACTTTTTAAATGATGTTCACGTTTGTAAGAAAATAGAGATCGCAAAATGTGTATGATAGACTTGGTCCATATGTTAACGCTCAATCGTCAAATGAATAGTTTCCGGGGAAGACTCGTTTTATTACAGTGTGAATTTGAAGATAATTTTTATATCAATTAGGCTGTGTTTGATCAGCTGCCAGATATATATCTCGAATGCCTTTAATTTCTTTGATTTTATTACTATAGTATCTTTCAAACTAGGCTTGAGATTTCTCACTTGTACATCCTTTCACTTTTACAATGATCGCGTTGGCCTACAGGCTATTATCGATTGAGATTTTTACAACCCCAGAAGTGTTACTTTTTCGAGTACCTGATTTGATTTTCCAGATTAAGATCTTTAATAAATGTACCCTGATGAGATCTATCAGTGGTCTCAGTTAATTATTCAATTTATTTGAAATTTCATTCGCGTTGTGTAAAATTTTGTTTGCTTGAGTTTTTCGAAGAACGTATTTGATCATTGCGTTTTTAAACTCTATGATTTTCGATCTCGAGACAGAAGCCTGTAAACAACAAACACAGGAAAAAAATATCTTAGAATTAGTCAAGGAACGCGTATCAATTTTTCCAATTATTTTGAGGACTTTTTTTATAAAAACCACTCTCGAACGGTTTCAGTTTTTTGCGTTGCGGCACATGTTAGCTATTAGTTTTTGAACCAGGTGTCGCATTTTTCTTTTATTTTAAACATTTGAAATGTAGAACAATGATGTAGAGTAAAGATCGAAGAACTGTGGAAAATAAGAACCAGTCTAATGCCTTGCCATGTTATTACGATACATGTGTTATTCACACGAGTAGTGTTTACCACTCTAAATTTATTACTTCAGCTACGAGTTTCATTTCTATATAAATCGGAGTGAATGTGAATAGTGAAAAGTCAGTTCACGTTAGGACGCTGCAGCATTCACAACCGAAGCAAGTAGTTTTCGTGAAAAAAAATTAAAAAAAAAAACATCGTGAAAACTTAGTAATTGAGTTTGTGCGTGTGAGTGCTTTTAGAAAAATGTCCACGTTCGACGGCTTAAAAAAATTGAAGAAATTACGAAAAAAAGTCAATTGGAAGATCGAAGAGGAGCGACACGAATTCATCCTTCGACTCGAAAGCTTGTTCAGCGATTGCACGGGTCAACTTCCCAATATCCAAGACATTCTTCAACCCAAAAAGATCGACTGTCTTCTCTCGGACTCTCTAACGAGCCGGCGCGGATATTCGTTCATCAAGCTCGTGGCTCGCAGCGGCTACAAGGACGATTTCGTAGTGCGATACGAAGACGGCGAGCCGCTGTTGCGTCGCACCACACCGCTACATCGCGCGGCCAGATGCAGATATCTCATCGAGCACGACGTGGTCAGCGATCTTTTCAAAATTTACAACAGATCCGATGTCAATTACGCCGACGAATTCGGATTGACGCACTTACACGTGGCCTGCATGTTTTACTGCGGCGACGTCATCAAGAATTTCCTCGACTACGGGCAGTTTCCCAATTGCATCGAGCAAGAAACAGGCGATTCGCCACTGCACTTGGTTCTGAAGGATAAAAACAGGGATATGGTCGAGTTGCTGCTGAAAAGTGGCGCCGATCCCAATCTAGTCAACAAGAATGGATCGAACGCTCTGCACACCATTTGCCAGGGCGACAGCTATGACGATACTGCCTTGATGACGATGATTTTCGAGCTCGGCGGCAGCGAGTGCCATCCGGTGCAAGTCGATGCCCAGGACAATTCGGGTAACACACCGTTGAATTTGGCTCTGCTCCACGGCAAAAAGAATCTGGCCATATTGCTGCTGAAAAAGGGCGCGAATACGACTTTAACCAACCAGGAAGGATTGAATTCTCTACACATTGTTTGCAGAAAGTACTGCAGTGCTGACTTGGTGGCAAAGTTATACAGACACAGCGATAAAAAATATCGTCCGGTTCGAATATCTACTAAGAATAAGAAAGCGCGGAAAAAAAAATTATTAAAATGATCATTTTGAGAGAAATCTCAAAAAGGAAACCTTTTCAGGCTCTCTAAGATTTTTGAGATGTCCCAGAAATCAATTGCTCAAGACTTAAAGCTATTTATTAGTTTTTTTAATTGTATGGTATATTTTTATTAATAAATAAATTTATTCCTTTTCTTCAATATTAACTTATTCAATCACATAATTTCACTATTTATTGTGGGAAAATGTGAGGATTAATATTTCATAACTTATTTTGTACTATAACAAGTTTTATCGTGATCAAAGCTTTTCGATTTCATCAAAAGATGGAGTACGGTCAATTCCTGCAAGTGTCTGGAAAAATGTCTGATGGTATATGTACAACAAATTTCGAGTGCACATCTTATCCCCATGTCTATTAAGAAGTTAGAAGTTTTTCGGATTTCAACATATAAACGCTAGTAAATAAGATATTGTCTTAATTTAAAGTAATGAATTATCAAGCAAAAATTTGTCAGATTTTTTTTTATCCTAGAACTGAAAATTTCGAACGGATCTTATCTTGTTCCGGCCGAGCGCCTCGTCACACCTCAACAATGATCGAAGTAACCTTTATTAATCAAGTGACTTGTTTTACTTTCTCCGGCACTTTGGTCATCCTCGCGACCTCATCGAGACCCCGGGATCTCCCCTTATTCCCGCAGTGGTTTACCATGGTACCATGTAAATTCGTGAAGGAACGGGGAGCGGGGTATGTAAGATACTGGCTTTGCCCGTTACTCTTCTCTAGGTTTTCTGCCGTCGAATCGATGAATGATGTTAAACTCGGTTTTTTAATAATAACAATATTAACAATTTAATATTTGAAACTTAGGTATGTACAAAAAAAGTAACAAAATCTTAGTGTGAAAGTTGGATTCGTATTTACAGTTCAACCCATCTGACGGCAATTTTTTACTTTTTACTGTTTTTTTGGGCTTTTATCATAGTTTGTCTACATTTTTCAATACTCTCGGATTTTCAGTGGCTGTTAAACTTAAAAACTCATTATGAAAATTCAGGCGTTATAAAAAGATATTATATAAGGAAGCTCTGCAAATTTTTTGATTATATTTTTATTCTTATACCAGCAACGAAGCAATTGATTTTGATGTATACGCAGAAGATGACATTTTAACAGTTTACGAATGTTTTTTTCATTTTTGTACTTGAAAAATTAAAAAATTTGTTTTAATTCTAATAAAAATATAAGTTATATTCCAAATATGAGTTGTATGTGATTTTTGACAAAAAAAAATATAAGACATGGCATATTTTGCATTGCATAGAATTCGGTATTTCTATAATTTATAAATCTATGATCTATTTACGAGTAAGGAAATTCAACAAATAATTAGTTAGAATTGATTCGATTCCGGAAGGCAATGTATAAACAGATACATTGGTGACTTTATTGTAAACGATCAGTGTTCGAGGTACAATGTGAAAATCGTTTATGATATTATTGTTTATGATATTATGTTCAAACAAATTCGTCTGAATCTTGTTCTTCTCGAAGAAACAAGTCATAATACCAAAAGATACATTTTACAAACAAATAACAAACATGTATTTTCGCAGACCTGCGCATTGTCACGTTTATGCGAAGCTTCGCAGTTCGCAGCGGCTCGTGTTATTCAACCAGGATGATTACCCCTGCAACAAAACAAAGAAAAAATCAACAGGTCAATCTGTCTCTCGTTTCCGCGCATAACAATTCGCTTCATTAAAAAACGATTAATTAAAATCTATCGGCCTCGCATTATTTCGCAATTACGCGAAAATTTCAAATTCATCAGTGTGAAAAATGCTGCGCACTGACGCACACACACACGCATGTGCGGGCGGGACAGCCGCGGGGCGTCGACGATGTAAAATTTAATCACGCCGTTAATACACGCTCGCGAGTTACAGGCTAATTGCGCCAGCTGGATGTACCCAAAATTTTCCAATCCGTTGCGTAAAAATCGCGCTTAAAAATCATCTCCGCGAGCTACGCTGTAATAATCTAGTACATCCGCGAACGTCGTATTATAATGTATTATACGCATGAAAATTAACTAGACCACGCAGGCCAAAATAGATAGTATGTAATAATGATTTTCTCGAAAAGCTTCGTTTGAAGTTGCTCCGTGTACGCACTCACCCACGCCCAGACGCTTTTGTTAATAAAACGATTTGTGGAAAATTATTATTATGTATAAATTTGCCCGGGCGGTCGTGGCCGCAGCAGCAGCAGCTAAACTTTTCGGTTACATATTATAAACGTAATATAACGCGGCCGGCTCTCGGTTTTTCCATATTCGCTGGGCTGTGTGTGCCTGGGCTGCTGCTGCTGCTGCTCGGGCAATCACCATAAATAATTTCGCTCGGGCCTAAAAACTTTCGGAGTAATTTCGACCTCTTCTAGTCGTCGTCGTCGTCGTCCTCTACATGTATACGTACGCTCTCTCCTTTTCCTCGCTCGAGCTTGTCAGGGGGGTAGGTAGAAGGAGGTGTATTAGCACAGCGCATTATACGTAATAATATATCGCGGTCAGGGCCCGAAGGGTTTTTACCCAGCAGATGCAAGTGAGAGAGAGAGAGAGCAAAGTGACGTGTGCTACGTAGCTTTACAAGTGTAAGTACAGGTATACGCGTGTGTATGTGTGCTTTCTCTGGTATTTCTTGAACGATAAGGACTACGGGGTATTAAAGGTCGTTGCCGAAAGAGCCTCGGGCGCTTTTTCTCCAGGATATGAAGTTTCCGCCTTGGCTATCTCGTCTGTATCTTGGCCTTCTCTCTCTCTCTCTCTCTTCATCTGTGGCTAACCGCACACGTACATATATACCCTCGCGCAAATCCGCAGCTAGCTATATCTGCAACGGAATATCATATTTTCCTACGCGAACGAGGTAAGAAGAATAAAAAAAAGAAAAAGCAAGAAACGGCACGTACTTACTTTTTATTCTCTTTTTATTCTCTACTCTTTCGTTTTTAAGAAACGATTAATCACGGAGATTCGGAAGGTCACCGTGTGGCACACGCGCTGAGCCACTGGCAGCAGCAGCAGCAGCAGCAGTAAAGCGGGTAGCATAAAGTTCCGAGTAGAAATCCTAGAGTGATGCCGCCGCGGTGATTGGCAAAAGTTTTCTTGCACTTTACGCGTATATAGGCATATATATAGATAACACTCGGCTGCAATTAAAACTTCTCTCTCTCTCTCTCTCTCTCTCTCTCTTCCTCACTCTCTCTCTCTCTTTGGGTTAAGCTCGCAAGTTGAAACACAACGTCGCGCGATCATCCTATACATAGATGTGTACTTAAGAAAGGAAAAGAGAAAAAAAAAATGTAAAATGAAATAATATAAGTTTGTACGTGTACGGGGTCCGAATAAAATTTAATTTGCCTTCGTGAATAGTGCAGCGAGCGAATATAGAGGCTGACGCATTATTATATACGTCGTATAGAAAGTAGCAGCTACGCCGCGTCGATTATTATTATTATATAGTGCGAAAAAATCTCTCTTTTTACCTCTTTTATCCCGTACAGAGAGCGAACGTAAAAATCGAGCGAGTCTCTTTGTGTTGCGCGTACCTCTCTCTATATATCTATTATGTATATATATCTCTATATATGTGTGCGCTGTATCGGAGGCCAGTTGAAAAGCGCAGTATATAGGTATTATGGCATCGACGGCCCACGGGTACGCGATCGGCGCGCATAGAGAGAAAAAGCGATATCCGAGCGCGAATAAGTGCCCCGAAGCATAATGGACTTTGGGGCGGCGCGGCTAACTGAAAGGCCGGCCGGCCACCACCACTATCCGTACAGTATATAACGCGTATAGCATTTTCCGAAATGCATTTACACGATGCAGTGCGTATACGTATATAGACGCGTGAATGTTCTCCTCCTCCTGCCGTTTCTCGGAGCGACGCACGGGCTATCGTTCGCCGCAAGCTCCGGGGGGGCTGCTGGGCAATTTTATATATGTGTGTGTATGCATTATACGTCTATACGCGTTAAATACGCGCAGTACAGTTCGATTTCCATGTACGCGCTTGTACACATTTTTATTCAAATCTCGGAGAGAGATATTTCGCGCGAAAAAGCTCGTCGCTAGCATATACGCTACGCACATACGTGCGCGTTGCTTTGCTCGGATCGGTTTTTTACGAGGAAGAGAATTCCATTTGCACGCGCGCACGCAAGCGAGTCGCTAAAGCTCCGTACAGAGCTCGTAACGTCTCTCTCTCTCTTTCTTTTCAAACTTTTTCCTTCTTTCGCTTTCTTCTTTCATTTTTATTTATTTATTTATTTATTTCATTTCTTTCGACTCGCACGTGCGCGAATGAAAATAAGCTCGTCACGCACACACGGTCGCTCTCTTTTCGTCCGAGCGATTCGGCTAGTACTACACATATACACGAAATAATAAAGTAGATACAAATCGGCTGAAATACGCGCCTCATTTTTTTCGTCGATGCCCAACTTTTCTCAACGAAAATACGAACCTTCGTCTCTCGGCTCGATAATTATCCAAACCGTTGACGCGAGCGTCGTAAAGTGGCTGCAGAAAATTTAGAGCCCCCAAAGCGACGCGTCGTGAATCACGCGTACAACGGCGAGATGATATATCGGAGAGATTTTGCTCGCAAGCTGTACACACGGCTCGAAGCGCGAGAAGGGGTTATTATTCCGTGTGCAACGTCTTACGAGTCGCGCGCGCGCGGTAAATGTCAGATGCCATATACAGAGCGAAATATCTAACGTAGTATGTGTGTGCTTATTTGTGGATAAAGGCTACAATACGAGATCTCGGGTAAAAATATGTAAGTATTTTAAACAGGGTATCGAGTATACAGATAAAAATATGTAAGTATTTTAATTTTTTTCGAAAACCTCTGTGGATTTTTCTTTAGTTATTGTATCGTCTCGGAAGCAGGGTTGTAAATAATTAATTCAAAGTTGGATTTAAATCATGATTTGATTCAGTATTCAAAATTAACTTGTGATTTGAATTTCATTTAATTTATAATTTGAAATGGAATTGAGCATTCAATCATGAATTGAATAATATAGACAGGCCTTTTACTCTGTAGCTCTTGATTAATGTTCAAATAGAGTTTGCCAAAGTAAAATGCAGTCATATTCATGTACCTATTTGAGAAAGAAAATTTTAGACAGGCAAGACTTGAAAAGAAATTCATCGCGTTCATCGATGATTGGTTCATTGTATCGCCAAACATAGACGAGCACCTCCGAGATTAGACGCGCATCGAAAACTAAGGTCTGTTGTTGAACTAGCAAAATTCCGAGGCAGTACAAAAGGAGATCTCTTATATGCACTGAACTTGACTTTTCTTGACGCGCGTGCGACGGACTGAGCCGACGCCACCTAGCGGCGATGAGTTCAAAGAACAATGGCAAGATAAAATTTGATTTTTATTGTTACTATTGTACGTATACTATACATTACGGTAAGATACGTTTCGTCGGATTCGTGCTGACGCCTCAAGGACTTACAATCGACCAAGGGATAGTCACGGCGATAAACAAGTTTCCAGTTCCAAGAAACCCTACAGAAGTAAAAGGTTTTCTCGGCTTAATTAATTTCAATTCTAGATTCGACATTAAGCTCGCGGAAATTGGCGCGCCGCTTATCAACTTGACAAAAAAAGAGTCGTCTTGGCAATAGACTGAGGATGATGTATAAATAAAGCAGCTTTTCAGCGAGAAGTTGACGCTCGGTCACCCTGCCAAGGAGTAGACATACATCTTATACACCGATGCGAGCAACGTCGCCCTCGGAGCCGCTCTTTATCAGGAAATCCAGGAAGAATAAGATGTATAAGATGTATGCGCGGTGCGTGCCAGTATCTCAGTGAAAAACAGCATTGTGTGCATGGATGACTCGATAGGATATAGTAATTATATAAAAAAGTGAAAATCTCTAGTCGATATGTATTCCAGCAGTTGCGGACATGAAAGATCGAGAAAGGACTGAGGTAATACACTCCGCAACAAAAAATACGACGATCCACCTGTATCGTTAGGGTTGTACCATGCTTCGGCGATTGCAAGAGGTAGTTGATATAGAGGTGACTTGCACACACATTGAATTGCGAAGCCATCACAAAAAAATGGCAACTAATTCCGAAAAACGATGCACGGTAGAGAATCGGACTCTCTGTGGCGTCGCCCCGCTTGCTTACTTCCTCCCATTGTTATATTTGCATGCCATATGAACGACACACGCCCATACTCTCTTATATGCACTGAACTTGACTTTTCTTGACGCGCGCGCGACGGACTGAGCCGACGCCACCTGGCGGCGACGAGTTCAAAGAACAATGACAAGATAAAATTTGACTTTTATTGGTACTGTACTATTAAGTTGCAGCCAATTCTATCCCGTCGCCAATTTTATTTTCAGGTATTTTCGTTCGGAATGCCGTTGGTTACCTTATATAGTGTACGTGTAACGTACATTACAAGTGCCGCGCGCACCGACTGTCGAGCGCGAACCATATAACCTCGAGTCTCTCGCGTAGAGCAGCGACTCTCTCTCTCTCTAGCGCGTATACAGGTACAGCACAAACATACCGAAATTAGTTTCTCGCTTTTCTCTCGCTTACCTTTGTACGTGTGCGTGTATTATATGTACGGACATATATATATGTTTGTCCGGAGCACAGAGAAGCGAGTGCGCTTTTGACTCTTCCGGTTCCTTTTTCTTTTTTGATGATATTTTGTGTACGTGATAGACGCGCATGCACGTGGACGATGAAGAGTAATATATACACGACTCACGCACGTATAAGAATTCGAACGTATATCTCTGAGCTCGAAACTTCGTTTTTCGGTGAAAGTCGAAGTAACGGATGAAAAAAAAACATAAATAAATAAATAAATATAAGGGTAATATATGGCTAGAAAGAAAAACTTTATCAAGTCCGATACGAAAAAAAAAGAAAAAGAAAGAAAGTAGAAAGAGCGAGATAGAGCAAGCACGGCAGAGAGGAGAGTGTTGGTTCACATCGGCGGGAAAAAGCTTTGAAAATCGTACGTGACGCTTTTTCGCAAGCGCATACAAACACGCGTAGCGCGCGGACGCGTATAGAGCTTTTATTCTGCGACTGCACACACGCACACACACACACGCACCCGTACGCACCAAGGGGTAAACACGTACGCTACGACTGTTGCTTTTTTCTTGTGCGAGAAATCGAGAAAGAAGAATAGCCCGTGTGCAGTGTGCAGAAGGACGAGGACGTATCCTTTCCTCGCTCTGTCTTTTCGGGCCGTAACGTTTGATTATGTGTGTCAGCAGAAGCAGCAGCAGCAGCAGATTACAGATATAAGTAAAGATTTCGAAGCGAAAAATATGAAAAATGAAAATAACGAAAAAATTCCTCCAGATCGGTTAAAACAAGTATACAATACGAGCAAATCGGCGCGTAACTCGTACAAGTACAACGACTGCGGCAGCAGCGCTTCCTATATGTATATACGAGCGCGTGAAGTGCAGTCCCAGTACACGCGCTTTACCTAGCTCTATACGTGCCTACTATTATATATAATATAGGGTGCAGCTATAGATGTGTGTGTGTGTGTGTGTGTGTGTGTGTGTGTGTGTGTGTGTGTGTGTGTGTGTGTGTGTGTGTGTGTGTGCGCGCGCGGCACCGAAGCTGAAAGTTTGCGAGCAATTATGTACTTTATATATACGGGCCAGGTCTGTGTGTAGTCACTTCTGAAGGAAGAGTCTGCGCACTAATGATTCGCTAACGAGGCAAGTGCTTGGCCCGTTTCTCTCTCTTTCTCTCTTTCTCCCTCAAGAGAAGAGCAGCGCGGCAGACCCGAGCAGCGAAAATGTATATGTGTGTTGAGTTATATACACTGTTTCACGATGTACATACGAAAGCTCGCGTATAGCGTGTGCCTCTCGTGCGCATTTCCAATAGAGAAAGAGAGGATATAAATACTTTAAAGACGCTCTTTTCGCGTGCATATACGTATGTTAGTGTGTGTGTGCACAAGTTCCGGTGCATTGCAAATTTAATGACGATGAAAAAAAAAATAGAGGAGGAGAAGAAGAAGAGAAGTAGGTCGCGATTAACTGGCGCCAGTTGCTCGCTTTAAATTTTTCCCTCTCTCTCTCGCTCAATTAGATAAATGCGACGCGTTTTATATAATTATTTTTTACCCTGCGTAGAATGAAAATGAAAGAAAAAAAATAAACATCGACTCCAGCTTAACGTACGCGAGAGCAAAATGTATAAATCCCTCTACGACTGCAATGCAGACAAAGATATCTCGCGCACTACCAAGAGAGTCTCTCTTGCCTATAGATATAATATGTATCTGCAACGGTTGCATCTCTGCCGCGCGTCAGACGCACTCGCGATTTCTGCAGTATATGTATATATGTATGTATTGTAGACGGAGTGTATTGTTTATACGGGAGGGATGGGCTGGAAAATAATAGAGAGAAACTGTCGGTGTCTATATGTATGTGCACGTATGCGGGTGCATCGGTGTGTTCGCTATACACACAGCGCGCGGGTTAAGATCGGTAATGAATGCAAGCGATGCCGAGGCACGAGCTTAATTGAAGCTCTCGCGAGCCCCTCGCTCACTATCTCTCACTACACGTTGTATAGTTCTCTAGCTGCGGCTTTGCTCCGTACGTACGTATATGTGCTATCTCTCTACTCTCGAGACGGGCGTCTATCCACACGCGCGCCAACGTCCTTTTTGGCTTAGAGAGAGGCGCACACAACTCAAGTTTCTCCATTCACGTATACGTATAGCTCTAGCTTGGGGGCGCATGCGATGTGTATCTTAAGCCCTCTCGACTCGACTCACCGTCGTTTTTGCGGGTAATGCTGTTGTCGTCGTCGTCGTTGTTATTGTTGTTGTTGTTGTTGTTGTTGTTGTTGTTGTTAAAATTGTTGTTATCGTTGTTGCAGCCACTGTTGCCCGACTATCGCGAAGGAAAAGCATAACTTGATTACCGCGTTAGGTTCAAGACGTGGATCTCAAAATGCGCGATATTATTCTTGCGTAAGAAAAATAGCGTACAATTTTTGAACGGGTGAAAAGAGAGAGAAAATTTTTTTGGAAGGCGGTTCGCCGCCTGACACATTTATTGATACTCGACTTGACTTTATTTACCATCGATTCTTTCTATTGTGTCCTCTCCTCCCCTGCGTGACGCACACATCGTTGCGGATGTTTCATGAGGTGTGAAAGAATCGATAAAAAGATCTTGAACTGCTGTGAGATTTTTTTTTTATAAATTGATTGAATACATCCAAGTCGAATAGTACAAATTGTCCCCAATAATTTTAACTTTTATTCATATTTTGACCATATGACGTGGAAAAGTTATATCTTATGAAAATGCAATTCTCTTTATTACAATATATTATGTACATGAATTATAGTTGCACAATGTGTGAACATTTTCTAATGCTCTACTGCATATAAGGACGTTAAAACTTTGATTTATATTTTCATCCGGCCACAGATTATATATTTACATTATAAATGTCACGTAGTCGACTTTAGACCGAAATCAATATTTACTAACAAATTCATCGCTTTTAACTTCAAATTAGCGGAGATAATTATTGTTCATACAATCAAATTAAAAATCGTTGTTTTTTAACATAACATCGCTGCCATAGCCCTTTTGGCTTTTACAAAACTTTTTTCGAAATACATTATGTAATTCGAAGTAATTTTGTTCGTTGTCATCAGTTACTTTGTGGTTAGACAAGCTATTTATAGCCGTACATACTTCTGGAACATATCTTATTTGTTCACCTTGAACTATATTTTCAAGTTCCTTCACGTTGCTCTGCTCTGGAAATACTTCCTGACTCGCGTTGCATTCATAGCCCTTTTGACCTTCGTGAACCATTCCACGATGATCTGCCAAATGCTGATTGGTTCCACACGCTTTTTGGCTTCCATGAATTTTTTTTTTGATGAATCGTCAAGGACATTCTTCTCGCAAAAGTTTTTTTGCACACATTGCACTCATAGTCCCTTCGTCCTTCGTGAACTGTTCGCTCGTGTCTTGTCAAATTGACCTTCTGCGTAAATTTTCGTTGACACACCTCGCACTCGTGGACTTTTAATCCTTCATGAACTACTTTAATATGAAGTTTCAAGTAATTTTTCAATGCAAACGTTTTTTTGCACACATCACATTGGTAGTCTCCTCGTCCTTCGTGAACATTTTTTTGGTGTCTTATCAAGCTGATGTGGTGTGTAAATGTTTGCAGGCACACGTCGCATTCATAGTCCCTTTGTCTTTCATGAACTGCTTTTTGGTGTCTTTCCAAATGTTTTGAACGTGTAAACGCTTTTTGGCACACGTCACATTTATAATTCCTTCGTCCTTCATGAACTGATCTTTTGTGTTCTTCCAAACCGCTCAAATAACCAAACGCTTTTTGGCACACGTCGCATTTGAAGTCCCTTTGTCTTTCATGAACTGCTTTTTGGTGTCTTTCCAAATGTTTCGAACGTGTAAACGCTTTTTGGCACACGTCACATTTATAATCCCTTCGTCCTTCATGAACTGATCTTTTGTGTTCTTCCAAACCCCTCCAATAACCAAACGCTTTTTGGCACACGTCGCATTTGTAGTTTTTTTTTCCTTCGTGAACAGCTCTTCGGTGCACTATCAAGTTGACCTTCTGCGTAAATTTTCGTTGACACACATCGCACTCGTGGTCTTTTAGTCCTTCATGAAATGATCTTTGATGTGTCTTTAAACCGATCAACTGAGAAAACAATTTATGACACGTGTTACACTCGTACTCTTTTTTTCCATCATGAACTCTTTTTCGGTGTTGCTTGAAATAATCCGAACGCGAAAATGCTTTTTGGCACACATCGCAAACGTAGTCGTTTCGTCCTTTGTGAACTGTTCTCTCGTGTCTGTTCAAGTTGGTTTTTTGCGTAAATGTGCGCTGACATGCAGTGCAAACGTAGTCTCTTTTTCCGTCATGAACTGCTTTTTTTCTTTTGTCAACAATTTTGTTATGATCCTTTACATCTAATGCTCTTGCAAATGTCTTTTTGCTCACGTTGTTTAAATAATTGTTTCGATCTTGGCCAACTGATTTTATTTGTGTAGCCGGATGATCATCTTTTTCAAATTTTTCTGGTCGCAAGTCGCAAGCATAGTCATTTTCTTTGATCTTACCCATTATTGTTATTCTTCGATGATCTCTCTTGAATATTTTACAACGTTAACTTCCACACCTAAGATTCCAAAAAAGATATTGACCGTCGTGTTTAAAGTCAAAATTAATTATTTGAAACGTACATCTCACCACTGAATTTAAATAACTGATTCAAAAATATCATGCTTTAGTTTTCGTTTATACGAAGTTTGTGTGTTTGTTTATATTGAATGTGAGAATTAATTAAACTCACAATTGTGTCGTTTGCTGACGGCTATTAGTATACACGATACTAATTCCACAGATAATTGAATTAAAACTCATGTGAGTTTTACAAAGTCAGTAATGAAAGGTTGGAAATTTTTTACTGCAGCTGTAGGATTATCCAAGGGTTTTTGGCTGCAGCTCAATAAACATTAAGTTGTCGTATATGCCTCTTGATTTATACAATAAATTTATACATAACAATATTCTCCTATTTTTTATTTTCTGTAATTTTTTTGTAAATCACTAAAAGAACTTGAAATTAAAATTTGCTATAGCCTGGGTCGCTTTAATTATTTCCAATTAGATATTCAAAGATTAGAAAAATTATGTGTGCTATTCGACTAAGTCAAATAAATGAAAAATTTAATCGAACTGCGTTTTTGGGTTGCTTCCGATTGCCTGCATTTTATAATTTTCAAGAGTTGCTCGAGTTGGATTCCACGTAAAAAAAGGCAATAAGCTAAACTTGTAGCAAGTCGAAACATAACTCAAGTTGTCCAAATTTAAGTTACTTGGGTTACTTCGAACTCTTCAATCCACATGAGGACGTGTCAAATTTAGCCTAACGTACTTGCATGATGGGCAAAGTTTTTCCTCGTGTTCTCGTGTGGATTGAAGGGTGGGCTGCAGTTCTCAGTATCAAGTTTCACCAACTTGAACTACGCTCCAACTTGGCTCAACTTTGAGCCTTTTTTACGCGAAAAGCCATCTTGAATTAGTAAAATAAAAGAATTAGAGAAAGGGATTAGATAAACTAGAAAAATAAAAAAAACTATGCGGGGTGTATGAAGTATATCTCTATATTTGAATGACTTTATACGTTTAGCACATTCGTAAAACCCGAACTTTAAATTAAGACTCATTGCTTGTTAACATAACATCGCTGCCATACCCTATTTGGCTTTTACAAAACTTTTTTCGAAATACATTATGTAATTCGAAGTAATTTTGTTCGACGTCATTAGTAACTTTGTGGTTAATCAAGTTATCTTTTGCCGTACATACATCTGGAACATATTTTATTTGTTCTTCATGAACTATTTTTTTATGTTTCTTCGCGTTGCTCTGCTCTGGAAATACTTCCTGACTCGCATTGCATTCATAGCCCTTTTGACCTTCGTGAACTATTTTGCGAGTATCTGGCAAATGCCGATTGTTTCCAGACTCTTTTTGGTATCCATGGATTCTTTTTTGATGAATCGTCAAGGACATTCTTCTCGTAAACGTCTTTTTGCACACATTGCACTCATAGTCCCTTCGTCCTTCGTGAACTGTTCGCTCGTGTCTTATCAAATTGACCTTCCACGTAAATTTTCGTTGACACACTTCACACTCGTGGTCTTTTAGTCCTTCATGAACTGATTTTTGATGTGTTTTTAAACCGATCAACTTAGAAAACAATTTATGACACGTGTTACACTCGTACTCCTTTTTTCCATCATGAACTGTTTTTCGGTGTTGCTTGAAACAATCCGAACGCAAAAATGCTTTTTGGCACACATCACATTGGTAATCTTTTCGTTTTTGGTGAACAGTTCTATCGTGTCTTATTAAATGCGACTTATTCGTAAATTTTCGTTGGCAAACGTCGCATTCGTAGTCTCTACGTCCTTCGTGAATTCTTTGGTGTTCCTTCAAATGGTTCGAACGAGAAAATACTTTATGACACACATCGCATTCGTAGTCCTTTCGTCCATCATGAATTGATTTTTGGTGCTCCTTAAAAATATTCGAATGTGTAAATGATTTGTGGTACACGTCACAAACGTAGTCATTTCGCTTTTCGTGAACAGTTTTGTAATGATGCTTTACATCTAATACTTCTGGTCGCGAGTTGCAAGCGTAGTCAATTTCTTCGGCTATATCCATTAGTATTGTTCTTCGATCGCTCTTAAAATGTTATATTATAATGTTATTCCACAACTAAAAATTACTTATAGATAACTTACACAACTGGGAGTGTGAATGTTGGGTTAAAAGCCAAAATTACTTATTTGAAATGTACATCCCACAACTGACTAAATAACTGATTGAAAAATATCATGCTTATGTTTTCGTTTGTAAGATCCGTCTCTGTTTGCTCATAATTGAAAGTCAGAATTAATCTAGTTAACAATTGTGCTGTTTGCTGACGGCTATTAGTATACACAATACTAATTCCACAGAAAAATAAATTAAAACCAATATTAATTTTACGAATTCTGTAATGAAAAGTTCGAACTTTTTTTACAGCATTAGAAATATTTAAGGGCTCTAATATCTGGTTGCAGCTCAATAATCATTCTCAATCATATATTACAATCTTCTTCCATTTTTCATTTTCTATAATTTTTCGTTAGTGATGTCGTAAAATTTCCACCTTATAACAAACGCCAATAGTGAACTTCATTCCGTATTACTTTCTATTTTTGTATAAATATGAAAGTTGACGACGATAAAAAAATTTATTTATGACTAATGTTATAGTTAAATATGTTAAATTTTTTTTTTCATAATATTCTATTTTCACGCGATAATTTAATGCTCATATTGAAATTCACGCAGTGCAGATTACATACATAAGTAATTAATGCAGCGACGATGCGTTGTGCAGCATCGCCGCCATTCGTGTGTTGTGTATACAAAAAGGCGTATTCACGCTCCGTCAATATGTCCGGCAGATATTCTCGCTTTTGTGTAGAAGGGGCCGTTCATAAATTACGTAATGAGATTTTACATGTCTTGTGACCCTCCCCCCCCCTCTCCTCCCACGT